AATTGAAAGCAAGGCCTTATAATGCTGTGTTGGGTAAACTTAACTAATCTGCAAAAATTCCAGTTCTACTTATAATAACAGTAACAGAATCAAAGCTGTAGGGATTAAAAGCAAACGCCACGGCAATATTCATACGGAGACAAGTGCTATCGTAGCATTAAAAATAATATTAAAAATTGGCACGTATACGGAGTATCCAAGGAACTCAGGATGTTTTCCAGACAGTAATCCCTCACATTTCACAATATCCCTGCAAAATATATAGCGTGTGTTCTTCAGACAGATAAATAGGGAGGCACGCCGGAGCACCAAGACTTTAATCAACTTGCCAGGAGCCACTCGGTGCCGCTCGGCCACTCCGACCGGGAGAAAAAAACACCTTCTCCGAAGCCACAACGCTAAGAGGAAAAACAGGACTTGGAGATTTGTAAAAGGAAGAGGGGAAAAAATATTCATTTTGCGATACGAGGGCCAGTCTCTGGCAAACGCGCGTGCCGGCCCTCCCAAAAGCACATCAGGCAAGGGGACGTGCAAGAGCACGGCCCGACGCAACGCAGCGTTGGTCTGAAGCAGACAACGGGGAGGGAAGTATGAGCAAGTCCTTGTATCTGCTCTTCGCTTTGTGTTTAGCCCCGGAAAGAGAAAATAAACACAAGGGAAAGATTTTTGTCTTCACCTACTAGATCACCGACCAACTCCTACAACTGTGAAGAGATTTACATTCGGTGACCGCGTGTCCTTTTAAGAGTCTCAAAGCAACGGCAGAAATTAAATACTGTCTTCTAGTTAGCAGCGTAGGAATTTTTTCAGTAAGACATAGAAAATCACCACGGTGAACACCAGAAATATTCCAGGCGGGGGGGGGGGAGGAGTACACAGAACTGACCGTGCAACAAAATAAGAAAAACGCTTTTGATCCTTTTCCTGTTCTCATTTTTACTACGTTCAGCAAACTGGGTTAAACCAGCGTTGTAAAGCTCTGGGGAAGTTTTCTCCTCCAGCGAGGTTCTCCCTCCCACGCCCTCCGCTGCGAGCGCCCGGCCGGCGGCTGGTTCACAACGCTTCACCTTGTGCAGCGTGCCGGGTTAAATTCAGGCTGGTTACAGCACTTTGAAGCGACGCAAACCGAAATATTCCTGGTAGGCAAAGGGAGGAGAGGAACTGAATTATAATGAACCGGCAGCTGTCACAATATGACCACAGTAACCAAATCAAAATATCAACCACGAACCCAGATGAGACTCAAAGGTCACCACATAAGCCAGCAGCTTTCTTCAGCAGCGCCTGAAACCTCAATCTAATCCTTGCAGTGAAATGCTCCATTAAGCTACAGGGGGTTTAGAAGCAAGTTGCTGTACGTTGGTAAAGGGTTGGATGTACTAGCACGATAGGCCAAGTAGTAGGATAAGAGACATTCCCAAAGAGCACCCCTGGAAATGCGACGAGAAGCGTCACGCGACGGGCCATACCCGTCGCGGTTATCTGCCCACGTATTTTTTTGCCGCCGGGTCAAAAACCCACTCTTCAGATACTTTTAAGAAAACAAAAAAATACCTAGCAGGCTAGGGGCACTCCAGATACACACAAAGCAAGCTGTGTTTGGCTACGGGAGCAGTGGGTTGAGGAGCTAAGGCACGCAAGCGCTGCGACTTCTCCTCCGGGCTTGCTCCAAAGCCTCGCGTACAGGCTTCCCCGTTAGACACTGGCCACCTAAAAATGGGGTTTAAAAACGAGTAGTTGAAAAAATAAAATACAATATAAGCCCTCGTTCAAGCAAACGTTTGCGGCTCACAGATAGGAGTTTGGTAAAACCTATCCCCAGTAACAACGAAGTCTTCCTTGCTTGGAAAACCACCTCAAATCAGGAGCGACTCCATCCAAGCCAACGATATACACCAGTATAAAACCAGATCAAGCTGGATGGTTGTCAGACTCTTTATCAGTTGTCAAGAGGAGCATGGAAAAAAAAAAAAAAAAACTAGTGTGGCTCTGCAGGTGCCAGCTGCTTAACCCCAGCGTTTCCAGAGACCTTTCCCTTGGGGATGTCCAAAGACCTTTGGGGAAAAGGGAAATGCTAAAATACACGTGGAGTAACAGGAGTGGGGAGCTGGCAGCCTCCGTCCCAGTAAACGGGTCTGCGCGTTGTTCGTCACCACAGGATTTAAATTTCTCCTAAAATCACAACTGATAGACCAGCACTGACCGCCGGCGTAACAGTAACAACTGATGCGGGGTCAGTAACCACTGATGTGGGGTTAGTAACAACTGATGTGGGGTTAGTAACTGCAGACGTGGGGTTAGTAACCGCAGATGTGGGGTTAGTAACTACAGATCTGGGGTTAGTAACTGCAGACGTGGGGTTAGTAACTACAGACGTGGGGTTAGTAACCACTGATGTGGGGTTAGTAACCACTGATGTGGGGTTAGTAACCACAGACGTGGGGTTAGTAACCACAGACGTGGGGTTAGTAACCACTGATGTGGGGTCAGTAACCACTGATGTGGGGTTAGTAACCACTGATGTGGGGTTAGTAACTGCAGACGTGGGGTTAGTAACCGCAGATGTGGGGTTAGTAACTACAGATGCGGGGTTAGTAACTACAGATGCGGGGTTAGTAACCACAGATGTGGGGTTAGTAACTACAGATGTGGGGTTAGTAACCGCAGATGCGGGGTTAGTAACCACTGATGTGGGGCTAGTAACCACAGACGTGGGGTTAGTAACCACAGACGCGGGGTTAGTAACCACAGACGCGGGGTTAGTAACCACAGACGTGGGGCTAGTAACCACAGACGTGGGGCTAGTAACCACAGACGTGGGGTTAGTAACTACAGATGCAGGGTTAGTAACTACAGATAAGGAGTTAGTAACCACAGACGTGGGGTTAGTAACTACAGACGCTGGGTTAGTAACCACAGCTAAGGAGTTAGTAACCAGAGACACGGGGTTAGTAACTACAGATAAGGAGTTAGTAACTACAGACGCTGGGTTAGTAACTACAGCTAAGGAGTTAGTAACCAGAGACACGGGGTCAGTAACCGCAGCGCCCGTCCTGGTGCTGGTGAAGGGTTTGCGTTCCCACACGGCACAGACACCGACCTCCTGGCCACGGCAATCTCCCGGCTAAGGCGTTTGAAACGTGCCCCACCTCCTCCTCCTCCGGCACTAACGCCCCCGCGCCCGGGAGCCGAGTCAAACTGGGGAGCAAAGGGCTGCCCCCCCCCCCCCCCCCAAAAGGAGAAATCAAGAAGTCCGTTCGGAATTCTCGAGGGAATGCAATTCCAGCGCGGGTGCAATACGCCGGGGCTTCTTGCGGGAGGCAGGCGAGGGCCCCGGCAGCACGCCCGCGTCCCCGCGCAACGTCACCGCTTGGTCAGGAGCTGCTCAGCTCCGCCGGTAGGAACGGCGCCGCTCCTCCTTCGCAGCTCCAATTCCCCAAACGCGGCCAAATCCTTCCCCTACAACCTCGCGGGGCGCTCCGGGGAGGGGGGGGGGGGTGATGGTTGATGCCCCCCCGGGGCGTGCGGAGCCACGACCGGGCGAGCGGTGGCCGGGCCAACCCCTCCGATGGGGGGACGAGCGGGGCCTTCGGGAAAGATCAGGGGTTCCAAAGCTCCTAATTCTTAAGCCGTGCAATCATTCTTTTTAACCGGGTGTCTGCAACCGCTTTTTTTTTTTGATAAAACAACTCTTTTTTAAACCCCGGCGAAAACCAGTATTTTCATGGAGATTGGCAAAAAACAAGGAAGGAGATTTCTCTGTAACCCAAGGGCAGGCAGAGGAGAGAGACTTTTACGTTCTAAAGAGTCAAATTAAAGGTTAAACTAGAAAGCACCACGCGGCCCAGTGGGTTTCACAGAAGTGTGGGGCTATTTGCAAAGTGTCTCTGCGCACTACCTAAGCCCCGTGGCGTGAGTTAAGAAGGGAGTGTTGAAATTTCCATGCTTTTTTTGGCTTATACGAGACCCTTTAAAACTGCTGTAACCATGTTTTGTACGTGAATACATACAAATGACTACAAGCTCCAACATTGTCCCATATGTTAAACAACTCGCAAATATTTCCCAATATTAAAAGACGAGGCATATTTTAGGGACGTATATTAGAGCTGAAGAATGATATATCGCAGTTACAGCTCCGTGGTTTTTTTGGCTCGCATTCAATCCTTTAAAGCAAAGCATTTGGTTAGTTCATTGACAACTGCAGAAGAAGGGTGTGATCTTGGCCAAGCCTAAGCATTACTAATATTTTTACATCATATATTTACTTTAAGCAAACTCATTTATCAACCGTAATTAAAGAAAGTAGCTATCATTCACTTACAAATAATTATAGCCTCTCTTCATACTGCTCTGGTGTTTGCTGCTGAGCTAAATGATTATTCAGGGGTGTCAAAACCTTCTATCATGGGGTGTGGGGTGGAAGGAGGGTCCTTGCCAAACGCCCTGGGCAAAATCTCACTCCTCTAAAGCAGAAAGGGCTGCAACTGCCCTCGCCTGAAATCCAGGAGTCTGGAGCTCACAGGTCCCAGCAGGCAGCGAGCCATCGCGCTCCAAAACAAACACGGGCTTCAGTGTCCCTCACCGGTTATTTATCTGTTCCCTTTTGTGAACAGATATTTATCATCTTTTCAGAAATCCTTTTCGACTTTAAAAGTCCTGTTCGGAGCACGTCCTTATTTATTTTCTCTGCCAACCGGCCACTTCTCTGAAAAGGAAAGGCTGAGCCTTCGGAAACAACCGTTTACCTCTCCCAGCAAATATTGCAGTCGTATCCCTCTCACAGCAAGAAAACAGAGTCCGTTCAACAAACATTTTTGAAATTGCATGACAGCTTAAAAAAAAAAAAAAAAAAATACAAATCCACGTTCCCACCCTCACACCGAGTATAAATCGACCCCCAAAAGGAGGGTGAGGGATTTAAGCCCGCAGAATTTTATTTCTAGTTCACTGATTCCACTTTCAACAACGCGGTCAAGTTAGGAAATTTGCTTTCTTACTTTGTATTCTGGAATTGACAAAGGGAGGAGAGAGATTGTCATGCGACCCAAGGTCTCTGCTCGCCATATGATCATAGTGAGTCCCATCTCCATAGTTCTGTCAACAAATCGGGAAAAAACACAATTTTACAAGTTTAAACGACATTTTTTTTTCCCAAAACCTACAGGTCCATATTTCCCTTCTACGTTTTAAGCCAGCTATAAGAAATATTGTTCCCTTTACTGTTTCCCCCCCTATCAATTCTGCTGGAAGCGACGTGTTCCAAAACATTTTTAAAAACTGTTTCAGATTTTTATTTCATTAGTAATCGACTTTGCTTTGCTGTGCGGATAATCCTGAATGGGTGACTGAGATGAGGTTCCTGGAATTTCGCGCTGTGCAATTCAGCATAAAAACCCTCTCTTGGCATAAAAGTTTTCTTGCCTATAACCTATGCAAGAACAACAAGGAAATACTTCTTTTAATGTTTCGCTTTTTAAATCTATTTTTATGTCAAAATTTGCTGTCTTAATGCTATACATGTGCACCGGACTATATAAAAAAAAAAAAAGTAGAATTTTTTTCACAGTGGGATTGGAAAATTAGGTCTCACTGAAAAAATAATCCCGCGTAGCACTCATCCTTTGTGCGTGCAATTCTGTGCGTGGCAGCGATCCCCCCTCCTGCCCTGAGCACCTCACTGCCTTGTTACCCCTCAGGACTTTTCCGGGGATCAACAGCATCAAGGACGGATAAAAAACTTGCCAGGATCCGGCCCCTCGTGTTTGAATCCAGCCTCGGTGTAACCTTCTGCTTTCAGTCACTCGATTTGTAAAAAAACTTAAATTTAACTCCAATTATTGGCCAAGCGCAGCGGTTACGTCGTGGTTCGGGGTTTTTGGGGGGTTCAGTAGAACCCCCGAGAAATTAATTCTCTCAAGGTGGAAATACCATCGTCATTTTACAAAGGAGGAAAGGGAGGGGGGTCAGGCTGTTTGCAGAATAACGCTGCAAGTTAATGCACAGTCTTGATTGAAACTCCAGAATTCTTTCCAGGCTCGTGCTCTTTTCTTTATATCTCAAAACTTAATTGTACGCTCACATTCAAGTTTTTGCATGCATAAATAATTGTGTGGGCAAATTTAGAATTTACTTTTCAAAACATTTTTCCCTCGGAAGCAATACAAGTGTCAAGTGCAAAAAAAGGGGATAAAAATAAAACTGACAGATGTGAGCAGTAATGACGTAATGGATGCTAAGCAGGATGGAATAAGAAAAGGTGTCGGGCTTCCCTCCCTCGGCGGCAGGGCCGGGGTCCCCCCGCCACGCCGTAAATGGGGGACCCCCCCCAACCCCCCTCGGCTGCAAAAAAAAACATTTAAAACCTCAGCCGGCGTAAGGGTCCGCCGAGGGCAGGACCTGCCCCCGGGGGAAAAAGGATGGAGCTGGGATGAACAAGGCGACCGCGTTTCTCCTATTGCCAGCCAGCCACTCGAGGGCATGGAGCTGCCGGGAGCGCCGCTCGCCAGCCCTCAGCCTTCGCGGTAATTAGAAAACAATTAAAAAGCTATTGAAACAAACTGTTTAAATAAGAGACTGAGAGCGAAGCAGCTTTTTTTTTTTTTTTTTTTTTTTTTTTTTTTTTTTTTGCCCGGCGTAAAGGCTACTTCATGTGTTTGGAGGAAGTCAAGGGAAAAGAATCATCTTGGTACTGAAGCACCAGCTGTGTCCAGCCCCGAGGATGGGCAAAACTGCGCTGCTCCGGAGGCTGGAAATCCCAATTCCTCCCTAGCAAAGCGGTCCCGAGGTGTCTAAAGAATTTGGAAAACCACCCGCAGCCGCTATGGAAATGACTTGAGGCCGGTTGTCTTGGCGAGTTATCGCCGCGGCGGCTGCGTTCCCCGGAAGGGGGATCCCACTTTTGGGTGGGGAGCACAAGGAGATGTTCGTGGCCCGTCCTTAAAAGCCGAGCTACCCGCCCCGGAGCTCAGATGGGTGCTGGAAATTAATAGTTGCAAGCCCTAAAAAGCCAGCTGAAGAAAAATGAAACATTGAGCGATACCGGCTCTGCTCCACCTGCACTCTGGGCGGTGGAGGAGCGGGGGGGATAGGGCCTAGCAAAAAAAGAAAAAAAAAAAAAAAATGTTAATTAATATTCTCGCTACCTGTTAGAAGTAGCGGAGCAGATGCCAAATTCAATCACAGGATCAGGTTTGAATGTTAAAAAAAAAAAAAAAAAATAAAATAAAAAAGCAATTTTAAAGAGAAGACAGGCTACAGCCAACTTTGCATGCCCATTTTTCTACGCAATCAGGTGTAAAACTCATATTTAAGATTGTAAATTGACATACGCAGGAAGTCTGGTTTGGGGAAAAAGATTAGATATACTTACCCTGGATGGACTAGGATGTCCTGCATTCCCCCAGGACCCTGAGCTAGTTCTGTCTTCTACATCTAGGGACAAAAAAGTTCTTTAGGCTTTATTGCAATAATTCTTTCCTTTTGTATAGGCACTTTTAAATTAATGTTTCAAATTAATCTCCTGTTGCCTTTAATTAAGAATCAGGCACAGGGCTACTACGATGGTAGTGGCTTCTGACCCACTGCTTAAATTAACTCATTTAAATTCACAGCAGAAATGAACCGGACCCTCAGGAACCTGAGGTTTGAACATAAAAATTACTTCAGCGGCTCAGTGTTTCTCGACGCTTTCAAAAAGCGACTGCACTGTACCAGTTCAAATCCCATCATCAAAAGCTCCAGCACAAAACCCAGGTATTGTCAAACAGTGAAAATAAAACCAGACGAAACCTCAAAATTGAAGTAAAGCCTGTTTGGGGCCAAACGTAACTCTCACCACCGCAATCTAGGCTTCTGCTGCAGAGAAGCATTTACATGCATATTTGTATTTCAAGAGGAGAAAAACCCCTTCCAAAAGCCGAGCGCAGGGCGGGTATTTCTGTCTTTATCACTGGATAGAAAATTCATTGCAAGAATTAGGGGGGCAGGAGACACTCCAGCAATTCCAGCCTGCCCATTTCAGGGTGTTTTTAACCATTTTCCCCCTCCGTTTGAGAGGGTATCTCTAGGAACACCACGTCCCGTTGCATTTACGCTAGGACGTGGTGAAACCCGCCGGTTAGGGTATGGACCAAAGAACCAGGACTCCTACAAATTCCTTCTTAATTTTGCAACAAAACACGGGAACGTCTCTGCCTGCCATTTCCTTGCGTGTGTTTTAGTTGTGCACCGAAGGGACAGCGGGACGCTCACCCCCCCGGAAGGCGAGCTGAGCTTCGCTAGTCAGCCCCATTTCATCATTTCCAATATTTCTTCTCTGATGCAACTGTGTTTATTCCACGGTCTTTCCCAGTATTGTCAACGAACCCAGTTTACTGCTATTACAACTTCTTTGTAACCTTTTCAAACTTAAAGCCTTAAAAAAAAATTAAAAAAAAAAAACACCCAAGGTGACCCACCCAGTAACTTCTTTCAAAGACGACCGCATGGGACTGTCCCTCTTGGGTGCCCCAAGCATTGGATGAGCGCCTTGGGGTTGGCCACCCTACATCAGAGGTTGCACCGAGGCCCCGGAGAAGTCCCCGAGCTCAACCCCGCCGGGTACCGCTGCCACCGAAAAGTAGAAGATCCTCAACAAGCGCCCTCAACCACGCCGGGACGCGCTCGCGCAACGGCTGCCGTGGCAAAAACCCTTCCCTGAAACGAGCTGGGAGGCTCCCGAGACTTTCCACTTGGCTAAAAACTTAATGGCTAAACATAACACCGGTTCAGGGAGGCACTTGGGCGCAGGTTTAATGGAAGCTTGTGAATAATTCCACTGAAATCATAGCCCGCTCTCGGGTTAATTCAAGTAAATGAGATCACTCATGCTTAACGTTAAGCACGTCCTTTAGTACGTTGATGGACTGGACCATACTGCTTAAATCCATTATTTTTTTACTTACAGTATGTTAAATATCAGGAAATGTGATTGACATTGATCTATAACAGTAATATTGCATATTTCAGTGCTATTTTCCAACTTATTCCTGTGTACCCAACTAGCATCCTAATGAAATAATACCCTTGCTTGCCTTTTGCCATGCGCCAACAGTAGCATTAATCTAACTGGAAAAGTCCGTATTTAGCTCGAGAAATTTTCACCGAGCGCTGGCGAAGACCACGCGCGCGAGCAGCTCCCTCCCCACCTGCGCGCCCGGATCGGCGGGAACTTCAGTTGGCTCAGAAACAGATATGGACGTGAGCACTTTAACATGTAGGTGCTGTGACCAAATCTGGTTGGCTTCCAAGATTTTAAAACCAACAAAAAACACACACCCAAAGAAAAAAAAAAAAAAAAACCAAAAAAACCACAACAACAAAAAAAAACCAACCCACAAAAAGCCCACACATTTGTATAGTTCAATACTTTCCCCCAATTACAATTCCTATTATCTCAGTAACAGATGAACGTGTTAATAGCACAAGACACTCTTAGGTAAATATTTAATTAAGCTCCAGAAAAAGAAAGAAAATGTGTATCATTTACCTGACAGATCAGATCAACCATTCTATTAGGTTAATTAGGCATATTTTTAAAAATCATTTGTGTTATGTAACAGGCAATTAACTCTATAGAGCCCCGATCCGTTGCCTGCTAAAAATCAGGGGATATTATCCCACTGACTGTGATGGGCATCGTCTCACCCGCGAGCATCGCTTCCAAAATCCGTTCCACTCGTGACTGTGAAAAACGGAGGCTGAAGGACTGAGCCACGCCGGGGAAGGGCTGGGAGCCACGCGGGGCATCACCTGGGGAGCTCCGCTTTCATTAACAAGGAAGTATTATTCACATTGCTAAAATTCATTTATTAACATACTTCTTTTTCTGTAAAAGTCGTGTTATTTTAGATTAGCTATGTTGTCCAGGGCCCTTACGCTGGCTTACGGCCAGTGCTAGATGCAAGATTTACACGCCAATAAAGGTTTTCAGACTGCTATATTCTACAGTTTTATTTATATTTTAAGAATATGGATGCTGTGGTCTTGGGCACTCTAATGCACCACCTAAAATAACATATTTCAGGGCTGTGTTTTGAGCAGTAACCCTTCGCGTGCGCTCGGTGCCCAGGAGGGACAGCAGAGAGGGAAGGAGAAACCCCCCACACCAGCCCTCGGGTGGTTGAGCTCTTCCAACGTTGGGAGCCCCTCACCCAGCTCCAGCCAAGAGTCTTCCACCACCCCTTCCACAGATGCTGGGCTGAGACACGTGATTTAACCTACTCATGGTGCCTCTTTTGAGTCGTGTTCTTCAAAAAAATTGTTTTTCTTTTACTTTCCAGCAGCACGTGGAAATACTGGTTTCACGGCCAACCGCTGGACGGTCCCAGTGACGTGAAAGGAACTATTTAGGTGCTTATGGTTAAATGTATGGTTTTGTGGTGAGCCAAATTCCCACCTGGCTATCCTTTCGGGGGCTCTTTGCTGCATCATCCCTACCTCTCCCCCCCTCGAGCCGAGCGTGCCAATGATCAGAGGGCGCTATCAGATATTTAAAATAACACAGCAGCAACGCATACCTCAGGGTTGGGGTGGATCCCTCGTCTCCTCAAACACCCAAGACCAAGTCCTTGGGCTCAACCAAGATGAACCCAAAAAAGTCCTGCCTAGGCAAGGGGAAGCACCGTTGAGCGAGAAGGCCGCTCCTGGGCAGGGAGAGGGACAGTTTTTGGGGACGCATCACGGGAAGGCAGACATTCTTCTACACATGGAGGCTAACCTCACTAGATTCATTCTGTAAGATCTGCCTCGACTCCAAAACGTTTAGCCATCTCAATTTTGGCTGAACACTCCTTGCCCTTCGCCTTGCTTTAGTCAGAGCCCATATAAAGCTCAAGGTCTTCCAAAGGTAAAAGTTCTGGGCTCCGATCAAAAAATGACAAGCAACGGCTCTTGTGCCTTATCTTCGGGGGTCACGTCTTAGCTTTCGACCAATTTTCTTTGTATTTAGACCTAAATGTGCAAACCGCACTATATTACTCTGCAAAACATCAATGAGAAGGCTTAATTAAGTAACACTGACAGATAAATCCATTTCTTTCGCAGTAATCAAATCAAAGCAGGTTGACATAACACAGGAACTTAATACAGTTATTCCCTTGTAATTGGAAAAAGGCCCTTTACTTCTCATTAAAGCAATCTTCTGGGTATTGGCATAATAAGAAGGCTCAGGGCTTTAATACTGCCCTATAAAAGCCCCAAGATACAGACCCCTTAAGCAAACATGCCAGATTATCTAATTCCTTGATCACAGTGGAACATGTAGTTATTGTTTTAAACTACTAATTCTTTATCTCAGCTACAGACAAAAAGAAGGAACTCAGTCTAAAACACGTATCGTGAAGCTCTATAAAAATGCAAGCTCCAGCTAGGGAAAAAGATGCATTTTCAAAAATGCCCTAAACCTTCAGCGGGGAAATGGATGAAAATTGTTCTTGGATATCAACGGTTATAAAGAGCAAATACTGAAACACAGTTTTATTGCACTTTTTTGCTGAAAAATATTTTTTGCTGCCTTGCCTCTCCCTTACTGCCCCCCGCTATCACCACGCGGAAGGACAACAACTCAACAACTACCTACAAAACCTGGGAGCCACCCAACTTCTCCCTGATTCTCCTCCTCCCCGATTCGGCGCGTCGCCGGCCGGCGCGGGTTCAACGTCCCGCGTGGAACCCTCACCCGTTCCGCGTGGCCGTGGCGGCTCGAGGAACCGATGGGCGCCTGCTTCTCTTCCTCTTGTTTTTCAACAAGCTTGCATTTTGTGTTTGATGATATACTGTATTGTCTTCGGGGCATCCAGGATGTTTCTCAACAGCCAAAAGCCAGCTGACTTCTGTCCCCCCCTCCCTCTCACCAGCCCTCAAATCAAACAGCACTTCTCCCTCAGCAGAAAAAAAACCCTCACTAATTACTACCTAGTTCACCTAGCCTAGATTACTAATAATTTCATATGACAGATATTGCACGAAGGTTTGTAAGCTCCTAAACCTAATTCCAGAAATTTATTACGTACCCTGTAAGTACTGCCACTTAGGTAATTAGGACAGTGAAACCCTAATGACACCAAAGTCGACACAAAATTCTCCACTGACTTATTCTCAGAGCTTGGATTTATCCCAGAGTGCATAAACTTGAACACATATGTAATTTTCTCCTGAATCTGGCTCCTGTAAATTAACCTCACTTAATCACAAGCATTAGGCAATGTGACATTACAAAAAGCAAATCACCGCGGACAGATTTGGTCAGTTTTTCAGAACGCAATTCATACGTGATTAATACAGGGGGATTTAAATAACTAAAGCTTCACTCAGCCTCTCAGAAGTTCTACCGAAAAGAAGTAAAACTGGTGTTTAAATGGAGTCAAACCACTGTGAGCATTTCAAGCAAAGGA